CGGGCCGGCGGGCGGCTCGTTCCTCCCGGCGTTAACTTCCTCGCAAAGTTCGGTTGCCGAGAGTCTCTAAGGAGAAATGTCGTATTGTCACCAGGGCGACGTCATACGTCGTTAGGGGATGCGCTGAAAACCACCGTGGTTTTAACAAACCTAAGCGCGTAACGCCGCTTATTCTACTGCACGTGCAGCCAGTCAGTCACATACCGTTGCGGTTTTGTTTTTTTTTTTCCAAAGTAAGAAAAGAACTTTTGGATTCCTACCTGCGTAAGTACATGCAATGACTCGGTCATAAACGCCCGAGAGCTTTGCACGACTTAGAAGTGCGTTTTCGTCAAGAGCGTGGTGACGAGAGTTCAGGGTTGGAGGCAGTTCTGCAAACGGGCTGACGAATAGTCTCTGGCTCCTCTGCAGAGCCCCATTAATTCTGGGGCTGGTTTCTGTTTCTGCTCTGTTGGCCCAAGTGAGACACGTACATACTTAACAGCAGTTAAACTACTCTGGCATGAGATAGCATAGAACAGGCGAGGCTGGGTTCACCGGCGGGTCTGATCAGGTTGGATTTAACACTAACGCAGCGCTCGCAGAACGCTGCTCCATGCCAGACGCTGCCGTTTGGCATTAGCTGGCTGTCCATCTTTGCAACGTCCAGCGTGGCAGGTGAAAGCCACTTTTACCATCTTCATTTCAAAAGTGAAGGGAGGTCAGAAGCCAACACGAAGTCACCAGTCAAAGGCCCCAGAAAGAATCAGAAGGACAAAGACTAGAGCTCCAGAACACCACCGGATGCTCTCTGTTCCCTTCTGCTGAATGTAACTTAAAAAAACCTAACTGGAAATAATTTTCTTCAGAATGCTACTTGCCTTTTGAGGACAGGCTATAGTAATGACATTAAAGCTATACAGAAACTTGTGCAATAACCTAACTTTCCACTTTAATGAGTAGTTTTTAAATTAAATTCATAGATACGTATTTTAAAAACTACTTTCCAGAGATTGTTTCCTTGTATCTATATTTCGCAAAGTAGCTTATTGGTTGCTGATCAACTATATGTCATTAAAAAAAACCAACAACAAAACACAATCCAGCCATTTTCAGAGTGATTAAAATGTCGGTTGCTCTAAAACACATTAATTTCTCCCTGCTTTCTGCTCCTGTTCATTATAGGTGGGACTGCAGAAAAGCCATGCTAACCATAAGGAAGAGGGGACCTGTTTTATAGCCAGTAAGAGACCATTAACGCAGAACCACTCCCAGACCAACTGCCTTCAAAGTGTCCTGACAGAAGTGGAACTCATCCGGAGCTCCAGGGATGGGCAAATTGAAGAAGCAATTAGGTTCAACCAGGAGTTGGAAAGAGAGCTGAAGAGCTCTCAGGAAGCTCTGGTCAATCTGGAAGACTGCAACCGTAACCTGAAGAGGGAACAAGCAGAAATGAGGAAGAAGGTTGAAGAGGCGAGACACGCCGTCCTTAACAGTCTTGGCAAAGTGAAGGAGCTAGAAGTGAAAGCTAACGAAGTGCCACATCTGCAGATACACATTCAGCAGCTAGAACTGGAACTGCAGCAATATAGGTAAGCTTGAGTCCGTCAAAAAATGCCTATAAAAATCACAGTACTGGAACACAAGTTAGCTTGAAAATCACCGGTTGTAGCTTATTAAATGTCTCCAAACACATCTTCTAAAATATAGCCAGAGGGAAATTAGAAGCTACTTACTGATTTTCTTGGTAGGGATCCAGAACAGAATTGGGCACATTCAGTGGAAGGTAGGCCAAAATAAGGATGCTCATCTACAGAGAGCTGAAGTTACGCCTCAAACACACAGCAACAGGACTCAGCGAGTAATGCTTCAAGTAAGCCTCAAAAGAAATTGCTGACAGTCCTTCAGAATCCATTTCCAACACACTTATTTTTTCCACCGTAACTAGCTAATACCTACTAACTAGCTACTACAATTCAGTCATTTCCTGCTAGCTTGGTCACACATATGAAGCCAGCTGTAATCAGGTGGCTGACACTCCATTTCTTAAGAAAGCTCTTCAACTTGTCATACGAATTGGAGTAAAACACCCAAGGCCAACTTCTGGCCAGCAGTTTTAAACTCTGCTGTGACTTTATTGCCTCTTCACTGACAGAATATGTCATATTCCAGGAGAGAAAAGTTAAAACACTTGCCTAAAACCACACAACAATATAGTGGGAGTCTCAAACAAAAAAATACATCATCCAACTAAAACCCACTTTTGTAATAGCATAAATAAATACGTTTCCAAAAGTCAGAAAGTTGGTAACAAATTTAATAGTTCACTGCTTTTGTTGCTTTTTATCTCAGACGAAAACTTGGACTCATTGATGGTTATTAAGTGCTAGTAGGCATTTCTGCCCAAGTTTCAAATTGACCTATGGAATAAGGTCTTGTTTCTATTTTTACAGACTCAAAGTAAAGCTAATATTTATATTTTTTTTCCTAACTGTACTAAACCTAGTATTTTAATACATTGTCTATTCTGAACTCCTTGTCTCTTCCTAAGCTTATACTTCCTCTGTTTGCTTATAAGAAGAATTCATAGTGAGTTATTTGTAGCATCATAGCTATTGTACTGTTTTATGAAGTGAGGAAATTCTAAAAATAATCATTTTATCCGGGGTCTTTCTGTCAGCATTGTGTATGTTAATACCTGTGTGGTTGCAGAAGATAAAAGCATTTATTTAAACATCTATAGGATTTTAAAAACACTGTGGGGGCACAGAATGTCCAAGATGATTGTAGAGGGACGTGTGGATGAATGATACAACTCTTAGTCCTAAGAGAGATGACACTACTTGTCTAGCCTACCAAGTTCTCCCTGGCACGAGCACCAATGACTTAAGATGAGTTCTTGTCCTGCAGAATTGCTTTTCCAAAGTATGATGAAGGATAAAAGTTGCTTGTACAGGTAGGGATGAACTAGTTAAAGACAGTAAGAAATGTCGGCTGGGCCTTTCAGAGCAGGAACTTTTATGGGTTACATCAAAAAAATAGTGTGAGTTTAAAAATGTAAATGATATGTTCTTTGTAAGATAATCTTCATCTGTAGTATTTATTTTTAAATTGCATGCTATGAAGCTCAGGAGTGGTGCTAGGCTGACCATTTGGAAACTACATCCCTTTTTTAGCCCCATGGCACATTTAGCACAGGACCAGGCCAGCTTCCACACGCAAGACCCTTCAAGGGGTCTTGATTCTCTGTTAGCCATAAAGCACTTCCATCTGCCTGTCCATGTAATACAGCTCTTGGCTTGAGCAGTGTAACAACTGAGCTCCTTACTGAGGGGTGTGACTTGCATGCCCATGGTCATATTCCACAGTACACGGAATACCGTAATTCCCCATATTCCACAGTGGGGCACAGAGATGCCCAAACTGGCAGAAGATGCCTAAGTTAAGCAGTGCAGAGCTCTGCATCACTGTAGTGAAAGAGCTTAACACTGGCACGGCTATCTACCCTATGCAGCCGTTGACATCATAGCTTGTCCCGCTTACTTTACTGCCTTACGCTGGTGCTACAGATGGCAGAAACTCCTTCTGCTCATAAAGAATCATCTTCTCCTGTTGCACCAAAGTCCAGAACCCACAGCCGTAGTTTGGGTGAGGTGCTAGCAGCGCGTGGTGAGGGGAAGCTGATGAGTTGGCTGAAACGTAGAGATGGAGGGACAGCTGCTATATCCCGCAGGTTTCTCAGACTGTCAGTTGGCAAGCGTATTACTTGTAATGTTATTTAAGTCAGCATGCATTTAAGTTAGTACTCCAGTGAGCAGTTTTCTCCATTTACAAGTACTACAAAAAGTTTGTGAGCATGTAAGCAGCATCTGTGTTTGGCAAGTACTAATGCTGCAAGGTAGCAGTGGAGAGAGATGGGTGGGGATTTAAGTACACTGATGAAAGCATTTAAGATTGCAGATATGTGTCCTGAGAATTCACCTTAACTGGCTCGGTACGCCACTATTTTATTCCAACTAAAGTCTAATTTCTTCCAGAGACGATCATATTCAAGAATGAGGCCGGTCTGTGGGCTTTACATGCTGCTCCTATTAATACTTTCATATTTACAAAGCAAAGAAAATTACTACTTCTTTTAGGTTCAGATTTTCAAAGCTCTTTAAGCATCTAAATCCCACTTCTAGACCTTCATCTTATGCCAACTTGCTATCATTTAGACCTGGAATCACAATGACCTTAAATTCTAATCCCTAACTCAGGAAACAACATAGTTTGCATCTATTCAGGAAAGTGTTTAAGTACCTGCAAGTGATTAAACGTTTTCCTAAATTGAGGGACCTAATTACAATTGCCTCTTTTGCCCCCAGATTCATATTCCTGCAAATTTAATGCAAAATGGTTTTATCAACATCTCTAGTAAATGTTTGCTAAATGAAGTTTGTGTAACTTAAGCGTAAACTTTTTCTGAGTACAGGTTCCTGGACCAGTGTTTGAAATGTCCCTGTCACGTTATTGGGTTCCTAAGCCAAGCTAGTTGACCAAGTAGTTTATAGATACTTACTGTCTTAAGGTGCACACCTCATTCTTCCTACGCTGGGTGCACGTGTCTGGTTTTTGTCCCCTTTCTCCACCATTAGAATTTCCTACTGTCTTTTATTTTTTAATCCCTGTCAATTTAATGAATCAGGTCAGATACTTTAAAGGTAAATGTCAATAAATTCCTTACTGAAAAGCATGAGTTAAATTCATTTCAGAGGAAAAAGACATCACAAGAAGTTGTATGTTTATCATTGGTATTATATCAAAAATGTATAATTCAGAGTGTCAGTATTCGGAAGAGTTTAGGAAGTTTTGCAAGCCCCATTTTTTATGAAGTGCTGCCCAGAGAATTATTCTCGTTTTGTACTGGTGCTCTTGATTTCATTTTCCCAGGTACAGGTCTTTTAATTTGTTATTACTGAAGCACAACTTTTCAGTTTTTGGACTACTCTTCCAGTTTCTCAGGATGATACTGGGACTAACCTCCAGCTCAGTGTCAAGTGCATATTTGGAATTTCTCTTTCAAAAGTTGGAAGCCTAAATGAACATACTGGCTAGGTCCCAGGACAGATTCTGGTGACCTCCACTTGATATACTCTATCCGAGAGCTTATAATTAACAGCTATTCCCTAAACTCATTTTTTTTCAGTAAGCTTTGCTGTAGCTCAGGGTGACACCATCCATGTATTTTAATATAGTCCTATGATTTATAAGTATTGTTTATAATAGTGCCACATATAAAACTGTTACTACAATAAAAATGTCACATCTACTGCTTCTCTTTATCATTCAGCCATTTCCCCTGTCAGACAAGGAAATTAGATTGGTTTGACGTGAATTGTTCTTGCCAAATATAAGTTGGCTCTGGTTTCTATACTACATTGCAGGTGGCTTCGAAATTGATTACTTAATAAAGTTTACAGATTTTTTTTCCCCTCTCTTTAATAGCATTGGAAGGAATAACAGAATTTAACAACCTCTTTTTGATCCCAGTGTAACAAATAGAAAGAAAGGTCATTTAGAATTGAAATAAACTTCATAATGGAGGTGTTCGCAGAGGTTTGCTGTGTTAGCTAGCAGCAGAGTAATTACATAGGTCAATGAAAAGGGTCATAAAATACGAAAAATGCTTCCCATATGCATGGTCTGTCTCCCAAATTACTTAATTATCCATCATCAGCATTTATACGTGTTAATGAGTAGGAATCCTTTTTACATGGAATACAGAGAGACTTGTTTCATCCCCTCATATTCTCTCATAAATATGAAGATGGAGGCCTCTAGCATAATTTCCTCCATTTATTTCTTTCATAAAGTCACCAGTGTTAATTCTTCTAGAAAGTCATGCTTTAGGTTTATCCTATATCAGAAGTAGTTCAATTTTTCTTTTCTTTTAGGAGACAGTGTCCAGATCTTTTCAATAATTTCTCAGGCTATCATTTGCTCTCTAAAATACAACAAGGTGGACCGAACAGATCCAAATCAACAATCCAAGAACAGGAGAGGCGTATGGAAACATTCCTAACTGATACAAGCGGCTCTGTTAGGTGAAGAAAAAGAAAAGCCCTAGGAAGGAAACACTAATCCACAAAAGAAGGTGTATATAGTAAGTTATTTCCAATCTGAATGATAGTGCACACTTTATATTTAGGCATTCTAGAACTGTTCTTCTCTTTTAAAAATTAGACATTAAATAAAGAAAATCTGGACAACTTTCTGCTTGACTAGTGTCATCAATATCAACTACTTGCTGGTTGTCAGGTGAAGTCTATCTTGGCAATTTATTTCAGATGGCACAAAATTTGCACGGAGACTGTGGGTGTGTATGTGCTTGACTACACAAAAGACTGGATAGAACCACAGACGATAAGTACGTCCTTGGACAAGACAACAACAGGCAGGGAGCGGCGACTGATGGCAGTCAGTAAGAATGATGACAGTCAGGGAACCGAGCTCATGGAGGGTAAAATAAAGTGTTACTTTGCAGAGCCTCATCCGCAAGAGCGCTCAAGCTGATTGTTCTAGATGAACTAATGTAATTTTATTTTCTAAT